TTGGGTTTGGAGAGACAGCTTAGCAGTTAGTTCAGAGTGCTTGCTGTTCTTCCAGCTGGTTTGAGTTCAGTTCCCAGCGCTTAGGACAAGCGGCTCACACCTGCCTGTATATAACTTCAGCTCCAGAAAATCCAACATCCATTCCAGATGGGCACTGCACTCATGTGCACAAACCCACATGCAGACACACACACCCCCCACCACCACCAAAATAAAACTCAAGCTTATAAAATGAATAATAAATTAAAAAACAAATACATAAAAGCACCTTAAAGTTCAGCGTGTTTTTGCTGGGTGTGGTGGCACATTTCTTCAATCTCAGCATTGGGTGGGGAGAGGCTGGTGAGTTCCAAGTCAGACAGGGTTACAGAATGAAACTCAGCATAAAGAAAAGGGAGGAGAAGAGTAGGAGACGGAAGAGAGAAGAGGTTGGAAGGAGATGAGAAGATATTTACTTTGGAAAAATAACACAGAAGGAGCAGAAGTCACGGTATACAGCTAACCTTAACAAATTCTGTGAACTTTTCTTATTTTAAGAAATTTCAGTTATCTCCAAGTCCAAACTTTTAAAAAAACAAGTCAAATAAGTAGCATTTAAAAGACGCGTTGACTTACAAAACGCTCCACCAGGGGTCTTCTTTTAATTAGCCATCTGCTTCTTTACACTTTCCCCTATGTGTTTCTGAAAAGAATTTCTCCGATTTCGGGGTTCTATTTCATAAGCAAATAGTGGTTTTGAAAAATTTATGACTCATTAAAAATAGCCTTGGAAAAATGGAAATGCAAATACTGTCTTAAAGAAACCTGTGGTGATCGCAACGTTAACCACGTTCATTTTTTTTCCCCAGTGTGCAGACAGCAGCCTCCGAGGCACCCTTGGCCGCGCCCTCCTCGCGGAGGTGGGTCGCTGTCAGCTGATGTTTACGTCCGGTAGGGGTGGGTCAGGCTCTGCAGACACTCCTCCGCTCTAAACTTTCCGGTTTTAACCCTGGGAAAGACCTGCCGCATCTGGTTAACTCCAACCCGCCCACATTCCACCCCTAAAACAAACTTCTCCAGGGACAGTCCCCTAAGAGGCTGGAGCCGCCTCAGCGCGCGCGCCCGCCCAGTAACCCCCCCTCCTCGGCCGCGCGCCCGCCCCCTCGGGCGGAGACGCGCAGGGGCAAGCGCGCGGCCGCGAGCCCCGGGCGCCATTTTGGATTCTGTAACTGGGCCGAGGCTCGGGGTTCGCTGCTGTTGGCCGCTGCTCTCCGAGGGCGTCTCGGGCGGCGACGAGGAGGGGTCGAGACGAACGGACGCAGACTACGCGGGACAGAGAAGGGAAGCTTTCCCCCCCGGCCAGCCGGAGCCGCAAAGGTGGAGCCGCGTCGGCGCCCGCCGCGGGACCAGCGTCTCGGATGCGGGCGGAGCGCGGGGGGCCGCGACGGCGGGAGCGCGGAGACGGGGCCCCGGGAGGCCTCATGTGAGAGCCGCGGGAGCCGCCGCCGCCCGCGCAGCCCGGGGTGGTGTGTGGGGGAAGCCGCCCCCGGCAGCAGGTACGGCGGAGGTTCGGGGCCGCAGCCCGGAGTCGGGCGGGGAGGTCGGCGGCGGCCGGGGCGCGCGCGGGGCGCGACGGGAACGCCCCGCCCGGGCCTCGGTACATGTCAACAAGGCGTGGCGCGCGCTCGCTCGGCGGCCGCGTGTGGCGGGGCTGGGTGACGGGCTTCTCCGGGCTCGCCCTCTGCTGCGCGGGTGCCGGCAGCTGGAAACCCCGGGGGCCAGGGCAGGGCGTAGGACGCTGTCAGGGAAAGCAGGGCCGGGGAGGCGCCCAGCGGAAAACTTGGCGAACTTAGGTGCAGCCGCTCGGGTCGCGCTGCAGACCTCCACCCGGAAGCAGCCCGGTCAGGGCATCTCCAAGCCGCGAGGTGAGAGCGGGCGGCGTTTTGTTGGTAATGGTGCCTATTCCACTTGCCCAGATGTTTTATCGTTTGCTTACACGAAAAGGTTAATTTTTAAAATTTTCCCTGAACCTTTTAGAAGAATGTCTGTAACTCTAAACTCTCACCCACCCCGTGTTATCTGTATGCCCGCTCCCGGTTATCTATTTCCCCTGTGCTCTCAACATCTGAGAGTTAATCTCTTTCATATTCTTGGATTCTTGAATTTCAGCCTAAGAATGTGTGTTGGGGTTTTTTTTCCTACGAAAAGCAAAACAAAAGGGCGTGTGTAAATGTCATGCCAGAATGAGACTTTTAAAGCTTAAGTACAAAGGGTCTTTTTAAGTTTTGCCTGTCCAGAATATGTAAATGCCTAAGACAGTAAGGAAAGTTTGGCTCCTCCTTTCAGTTTGAGGAAATGTTTGATTAGCTCCCTAATTCTTGGTGCTGCTCAACTAGTTACTAGGTGTCCTTCATTACTTTGCTTCTTGGACACTTGGTATGAATACTAGCAAAAGTTCCTGCCACCATAGTTTGAGTTCCTGAAACACTGCAATAAAACAAAACTTCCAGGGCCCAGGTTTTCTATGCTTTAGAAAACCTCACTGATATTTATTGACCTGTTTTGATACACCACACTCTTCTTGTTCCGATATAAAGGACGCTTTCACTTCTTCTAGAAGCAGGATAAAACCTACTGCTGTAAATTAGTTGTATACTAGTGAGTGGTCAGAATTGTTCAGCTTTATACAGCAGAGCTTCATGTGTAGGTAGTTAAAGTAAAAGCATTGGAAATTTTGAATTAAAAAGACCAACAAGGAAAAGCAGTATTTAAAATGTTATTAGGTATTTATTCGTTAGTGTTATCTTTACACCTAATAGTGCATAGCACATTTTAACATTTGGTCTGTTCATTTTCTTTGCTAGTGACATTAATTTCATAATGCTTATGATAGTCCATAGACTTTTTAGCTATTCATAAACTAATAAATACTAATTATACTTTGATGATCCATATATTCAGTTTATATTTAGATCAAGTATAACTGTATACTTGATCTTCCTTAGTGTTGGTGATTTTACATTCTCTGACTTCCTCCTCCCAAACTTGAAAGTGGATTGAAATATACTTTTACTTAGATTGGACTGTGTTGGAAGGCAGAAGCAGTGGATCTCTGATTCCCAGGCCTGCCAGCCTCACATAGTGAGCCTGTCTCACGTACAGATTGTATAAACTTAGGCTCAGCAGAGTGTTGTTAAAGTATTGTGAGTAAGGCTGCTGTCCTTGTTTTGGTTTTGAATCTGTACACTGTAAGATGAAGTGTTTGACCTTTACAGTCTGTCTTTAGAAGATTTCTCCAGATGCAGCAGAGCATCCTGGCATAAGGTCTTGAAGTAGGAAGACTGTCATTCTTTTTTGTATCTCTGTATCTCAGAATTCTGAGTAGTTTCTATCAATAAGAAAGTTTGAGTCCTAAGTAGCAGACTCTTTGCTCATTGACCCAAATTGAGATGCTAAAATTAAAGCTAAGCCTCCAGGAGAAGTTAAGATTGGAAAATGGGTCATAATGACATGCTAACCCATAGTTGGACCTTTTTTTTTTAATTTTAAAAAATGGCACTGTTGATCATTCTAACTTTTCTCTGAATATACTTAAACATCTATTCATGGACTCATAAATAAGTTTGACTATTCCATAAAGCCATCTTGTCATCTGTCACTTTGTTTTCTGAATTCTCCTTTATCGGAGACTGTGCCCTTTGTGTGTGTATATACAGTTAGATGCAGGAACAACAGGGAAGAGACAGTTGGTCTTTGGAGGCCTCTTGGACTGGTGGTGTAGGTCGTGCCCTCTGCCATCTGTCTCTCCTCTCCAGCCCTCAGTCCTCCTTTGCAGATCTCCTGATGAGAAAGGCTGTATACGTGCACGTCTTCATACCACAGAGGACCAGAGTCTTACGTGACGATTTGTCACAAGTAGGTTGGAGTCAGGCCATCCTTTTGAGTCTTGTTTGGACCAGTGCCTGACTAGAATTGCTCTCTAAACAGTCATTGTAGATCCTAGACTAAACAGTAGTACCAAGGAGTGGTCCCAGTTACTATTGAGTGCAGTGTAAATCAAGTAACAAAGTGTGTCCTTCGGAACTTTGATTACATGAAGTAAGTGTATACAATGTGGAAAGAAAAAAACACTGGGAAAAAATAACTGGAACTTGTGTAATCCCACTGCCCATTGTTAGCTGTTACACTAAGTTAGTGATGCTCTTGCCAGTGTGTTTCTCCTCACCACTTCTCCCTCTCCGTATGTGAAAGATAATTTAAATTGTTCTTCACATTCTGGGGACAGTCACTTTGTGTGATGGCTTTCATACTGGGCTGAGAGATCAAAACTCTAATAAGTCATTTATCATAAGAACCCTGTATCTAAAGATCACCAGTTTGCAAACTGAAGCATCTTGACAGTCTTGTAACTTCCCAAAGTCATGGGGCTACTTTGAAGTGTAGCTAGGATTCAAACCTGGATTGCTTGGACTTAGAGCTTATGGTACTGTTTGCCATGCACATCTCATCTTTCCAAGAAGCAAATGGCATGAAGTAAGACTATGTGGAAAAACCATGAAGGTATCTTTCAGAAAATTGACGGAAAAAGCAGTGACGGTAATGTGTTGGGAGAAGAAACCATATCCCAGCTGAAATACAAGGCGTAGTCAGGTAGACTGCTATGATTAATCAGTCTAGTTCATGCTGTTACAGGTTGAGCTCAGGCCTGGAGTATTTAAGGCAAGGGCTTTACCATTGGGTTGTACTCTCAGTCTGGGTTTACGTACTTTAAAGAGAGATTGGGTATGTGTAGCAGTAATGCCACGTGTCACAGGCTGTTCAGTGCAGGTATGTTAACCACTGTTCATCCGCTGGAGTCTAAAGGTTCATTCAGACCTTCGTCTACCTCAAATTTGACAGGAAAAATGGCTAGGTTCACTGTAGGTGCTCCTTCACAGTTACTTTAAGTAGCTGACTACAAGTTTTGAGTTGTAAATTCATGGTTTACTTACATTATAAGTAGTTTTAAACATAAATATTTAAAATCACCTCAGGAGTGTTCATCTCCACCAGCGGTTTTCATTGTATTTTTATATTCTCCTTGAATTGTCAGTTCAGGTTTTCGTGCATATTTTGGTTTAACTGCACAAATGCAGACACATTTCAGTGACAGAATGAATTTGATTAACAGTTAAGTAGGATGAGGAAAATGATGGATTCTTTTGATAGGATGAAACGAGGAGGGAGAGACAGTGACCAGGACTCAGCAGAGGAAGGCACTGCCGAGAGTGCTAAGAAACCAAGGACGACTCGCGAGTGCTCGCAGCCTTGTGACTGGGGTAACCTTCTGCAGGACATCGTCCTCCACGTTTTTAAGTATTTGCCTCTTCTTGACCGGGCTCATGCTTCCCAAGTGTGCCGGAATTGGAATCAGGTATTTCACATGCCTGACTTGTGGAGATGTTTTGAATTTGAACTGAATCAGCCAGCTACATCTTACTTGAAAGCTACACATCCAGAGCTGATCAAACAGATTATTAAAAGGCATTCAAATCATCTTCAGTATGTCAGCTTCAAGGTAATACCTCAACTCCTCCTGTTAAAAGATAAGAGTATTTTTACTGGCTTCAATGTCATAACCAATACAACTTTTTAATGTCCTTAAAATACTTAACTTTTCAGGAAAAGTGCTTAAAGTTGTAAAATTACTGCATGCCTTAGAGTTCTTTACAAATATTTTTCATATTTACTGGAACTAAAATAGTCCTTTAATTTCTTGAAAGAGCAAAAGCAGCCACTAAGTGAGCATAAATAATTGACTGAAGTTTGAAGTTAATGGTGAATGGTTGGCAACAAAGTTGAGGAAAGAGAAAAATACCACAAACATTAGTGCAGTGGGTCTCCATCTGCTGCAAGACTCCTGGGTGGGTCAGTTACTTTATGAAGTAACAATGGAATAATTTTATGATTGGGGTCACCACACCATGAGGAACTATATCAAAGGCTCATAGCCTTAAGAAGAACCCTTAGAGAACCACTATATTAGGGCTGGTTTGACTTGGTTTTTGGTTTGTTTGTTGTTGTTGTTTTTTGTTGGTGGTGGTGTGGAGGTGCTGGTGTTTTGAGACAGGGTGTTTCTGCAGTTTTGGCTGTGCTGGAACACACTCTATAGACCAGGCTGACCTCAAACTCAATTGCCTGCCTCTGCCTCCGAGTGCTGGGATTAAAGGAGCCGCACTGCCACCACCACCGCTGAGTGTTGCTGGCTTTGGTACATTTTTATTTAAATAACCAACAAAAAACGTTAAAGATAATATAGAGACTAAGTAGTTTTAGAGTTTTTTTTAGAAGGAAACAGAAAAGGATTCATAGAAAAATGCAAGAGAGCTGTTTGCTTCATTTCAGTATTACAAGGGACACAGAAGACTCAGAGAAGAGAGATGGGTGAAGGAAGGGAGCATTTTGAGATTTGAATAGTATTCTATGAAGTCACAGTAGCTTGTGTCAGAACAAAGGTTCATCACATTGTATTTTGGAGAAGAGGAAAGAAATATGGGATGCTTGCTGAATCCCTAGCATGAATTTATTTTAAATATGATTTCTAAATGATAACTATGTTAAATGATAAAGTGGACTAGGCCTGCTGACTGACTCACGTTACCTCAGGACTTGGGAGTCTGAGGCAAGAGAATCAACAGTTTCACAATTTAAGGCTTTCCTGCCCTGTGTATATAAGACTTTCTCTCTTAAAAATGTTTAACATTAAAACCAAAAAACTGTAGTAAAAGGACAAGAATTGCCTGTTTGCCTCTATTTCCTGTTTGCTAAAGGGGCCAGAATAAGTCTTTACCAAGCAGTTGTCCTAGCCTAGAGCTTCAAGCCGTTACTAGATGCTGTCTTCCTTGGATGATGGGGAGCTTGTGATCATAAAAGTACTAGGTCATTAGGAGTAAGATTGCCAACTACAGCCACAGAAAAGAGTTATCGGGATACCTGTTCAGACCAGCCTGGGCTACAGAGTAAGTTCAAGACCAGCCAGAGATACTTAGCAGGAAGGACCCTGTTTCAAGAAGAAAATAAAAATGCCTAGTTCATTTTGAGTTTACTAATCACTGATAATGATTAGTATAGGTACATTCCAGACATACTCATTGATACAAAATATTGTTTTGTTTACCTGAAATTCCAGTTTGGGTGTATTATCTGTTTGACAAGGAGTAGGATTCAAGCAAACAGGTGTTGGGGAGCTACCCCTCCAAAAGGAAACCTGAAGTGCTTTCCCTTTAGTTTTGGTTGTCTTTGAGTTGCTTTAGAGTATTGTAATAGCAAATGCTATAGAAAGGAGATTGTAAAGCTCATTCCTGCACATAGTAGGCCAGTTGGGTCCTTGATGTTCTTTTATAGTTCTATGATACAACCCAGGTGTATCCAACATACATAACTCATAAAACCAGTTGTGCTTAACATTTCTTGTTAGGGATTTATTTGTGTGAGGAAGTAATTTCTAATGTAGAAAGCAAAGTTGCAGGGATTATTCTGGCCTCCTGATAATATTTAAGTGGTCATTGTAGGCTGAAAAAAACATATAATCAGATTTATCAGTCTAGAATAGTGCTTTTCAAACTGTTGAGTAGACTCACCAAGGAGAGTGAGTGTAAAGGCAAAAGGTGCTCAGTCCCACACACAGTTTCTCAGCCGCATGGTTTAAGCGTACGAATTCCATGTCTTCAGTACTTGGATGATTTTCATGTGGTCTGGGAGAACTACAAACAGTACATTAGTTTCACACACTGTAGCATTTAGGACCTCCTTTGGGATTCAGTCAAATACAAATTTAGTAAAATGTAATAGGTATTACATTTTAACATTTTTAGTCTAGAGAAGAACTAACGTTTCCCCTTCCAAGAGTTGGTGTTTGGTCGTGTTATTTTCTTCAGGAAATGTCTCAGCAGGAAGTGTGTAAGAACAGCTTCCTCTATGTTGGTTCAGATTATTTTGTGCTTGTTTAGTTGGACACTCTTATTTTACTCTCTGTTTATCTTTGTATTAAAAACATTAGAGAATTTCAAGTTGTGTGGTTCATCTGAAAATTCCAAACAAGTCGATTCTAGTTTCTTCTGATACCCTGTAACAGTTCATCATAGGCACTGTGTTTACATGTATTATTTGATTTAACCAAGTACAAGTTATTACTTAAAGGCAAAATTGATTGATTTTATAGTTATTTTGAAATGAGTCAAATTAGTCTTTCAGCACCAAATACATAAATGTATATGTATTATAATGAAGACAATTAGACTAAGATTGTGGGAGAGAGATAATTAAAAATCTGTGTCCTTTAAATGGTAGTGCACTGAGTTAGTAACTTTATTTCTTGCTTTTAGATAGTCAGAGAGAAATGTGGGTGTGTATGTGACTAAGCCGTGTTTTCTTTCTAAGGTGGACAGCAGCAAAGAGTCGGCTGAAGCTGCTTGTGACATATTATCACAGCTTGTGAACTGCTCTTTAAAAACACTTGGACTTATTTCAACTGCTCGGCCAAGCTTTATGGATCTACCAAAGGTATCTGCTGGGTCTGTTTATCATTGCCTTTGCGGAGGAATCCAGTGAAAGCCCTGCATTGTTAGTGCCGACATGAGGCGGAGAGGACAGCAAGCAGGATGTGCCTTGGAGATCTGGTGGTTGTTTACAGTCTTAAAAAATAGTATTTAGAATACGATTTTAAGGAATTTTACATTTTTTTTGTATGTATAAGCATTCTATTTCCATGTAAGTATGTGCACCTCATGTGTGTCTCATATCTGCAGAGACCAGAAAAAAGTGTCCTATCTCCAGGAATTGGAGTTACAGGCTGTTAGGAGTTACCCTGTGAATGCTGGTAACCAAACCTAGGTCCTCTACTAGAGCCTCTACAAGTACTTTAACTGCTGAACAGACACCTCTCCAGCAGCAGTAAAATATGCTATCAGGCATTCCTTGCTCTTCCTTGGTAATGTTACAGAGTAAGTGACTTGACAGAAGATTGTCTAGTAGTGGAGGTGCTAAAAGAGTAAGGGAAATAGACTAACCATGTCAGAAGAAGAGACCCATGAGCGCCACTTCATTCTTAGCTTACAGATGAGGTGGGTGACAATGCCAGTGTCGAGCAGGTGTACTCTGCTCAGTATGTAAATAAACCCTCTGGTAAGTGGACTAAACAGTAGTTTTAAGCAGAATTAATGTCTATATAGTTTGGATTATCTACCATTTAATTATTCTTATGAGGAGTTAACTATTGTTTGTGTTAGTCCTATACACAATTAAAGAACAGTCTACCATACAACTGTTCTTTTTAGAAACTTGGGGGTTGTTACATTTAGGGGCGTGTGTGTGTGTGTGTGTGTGTGTGTGTGTGTGTGTCAGTGTGTGTGTCAGTCAGGACGGCTTACAGGAGTTGGTTCTTTTTCTGCCATGTGAGTTCCAGGGTTTGAAGTTGGTTTGTAAAACTTGGTGCCCATAACTGTTCTCTTTGAAACAGAAAAATTATCAGAGACCCTTCTGAGAAAGCCCAGAAAGCTGCTCTCTGGCTTGCTGATGCTCAGGAGGTTAGCATACAATAGTGATGAGTGTCTGTGTTATTGGCAAGCACATCTGTGGCCTTACAAGTGTCCTCACCACTGACCTGCAGCCCCATACCAGCTAATAGCAATTTGGAAAAAGAAATTTTTTACAGTATGCCACAAAGTAAAATATATAGGTTAAAGAAAAAAACTTTTATTTTAGGTATATAAGTATTTTTGCCTGCATGTAGGTTTGTGTACCATATATGTACCTGTTACCCCTAGGGGCCAGAAGAACACATATAGAAACTCCAGAACTTCCTAGAACTGGAGTTGCAGACACTTGTGAGCTGCTGTGCGCGTACTGCGAACTGAAGCTGAGTCCTCTGGAAGAGTGGCCAATGTTCTTAACTGGTGGCCGCTTTTCCAGCACCAAATATGTAGGCTCAGGTCACAGTTCATTTTACTAGACTGACTCAGGAAGTGGTATTAAGTGTGAATTATAACTAGAAGGTCATTGTTCCAATTGAATAGCAGAACCCAATAAAATATCGTGAGTTCAAAACCTTAAATTTGAGTAATCTTGTACATTGTGAGATAGAATGTTTTCTCATGAGCACAGAAGAAATACGGAAAAGAGAATCTGTTGGATGTACCTGAGTCAGGTTGCTGTGAATCTTAGATCTGGTTGTGCCCAAATTTGAACTCTTACTCCTGTTCTAAATTTGGCTGAGGCCAAGTCTTCTGTGGACAGTCCAGAGGATTTTAGTAGAGATAGATGTTCAAGGCCTCTTGCTAAGAAACTGAACCGCTCTGATTGATACCTTTTGTACCTGCCATTATTTTTAAAATGTGGCTGGGCGGTGGTGGCACACACCTTTAATCCCAGCACTTGGGAGGCAGAGGCAGGCGAATCTCTGTGAGTTTGAGAGAGATCGTTGGTTACAGAGAGAGTTCTAGGTCAGCTAGAGCTACGGAGAAACCCTGTCTTGAAAACAACAACAAATTACTTCAATAGACTAAACGGTTAGAAAGCATATTGAACATAGTTTGATGTTTTGTTACCTGGCCTTTCAGTTTCCATATCTGTAGTGCTAGTTTCAGAACTGTTGGTGTAGTGGCCTTCCATGCTTACTGTTGTCCTTCTTTGGTTTTTTGTTTGTTTTTTGAAAAGATTGAAATAAGATATTCCTGTATTTTGGCTATTCTGAACAGAAGAGAAAAGAAATGTATGTGAGCATAACTTCATCAGGACAGAAAGGAAAGGAGTTACTGTGTAGTCACGGGCTGTGATCATGGAAGATGCAGTTGTGTGATTAGGATAGGGGATTCATGCTTAAGCTGTTTAAGCACAGTTTTAGAAATCAGTTGTTTAGACACAGTAAAGAAACAGCAAGCTAAGGATTGTAACCAAGGACGTGTTTCCTTATACCTCGTTGTCGGTTAGCAAGGCTTCCTCCTCTGGGACTGCTGTGGAGGATTTTCAGAGGTAGGCATAGGATGAGGTTGGCTCTGTACATGTGTGCTGAAGCTTGTCCTTTCTGTTCTTCTCTGAATTGTTTGTCCATTGATGATAGCTTATCTCAGCCCTGATTCTGTGTGCTTTAAATATGCTGTAATTCTTGTTTCCGTGGAATTCCTTTTGATCAGATCTGTGATCAGTAGATTATAAGTAAAATACATTAAAATCAAGACTTAAATCTTTGAGAGGGTTTTAAATTTGGATCTTTGAATGGATTCTGGTTGTTTAAAGACTCTGTATGTGCTTCCATGGTCCAGTCAGCCTTTGAGTTGACTGACTTCAGTTTTGATTATTATCCAGTAATGTCTGTGTTGGTACTCTGTTTTATGTGGTGCAGTGTACAGGACATCAGCTTCCAGATACATCGAGGTATGTGAGAAACTCTTAGTCTGGGTTAGACGGTTCCTCTTTGATCTCTGAGGTTGCTGTGAGTGAGGTGAATTTGGAGGCTTAAAGTGACCCTTTCTTCCACAGGTACAAAAGGCTTTTTTCTCAGAAATGGAAAGTAGCCCCCCCCCCTTAACTCTACTTTGGTAACCATATGCAGGGGCACTGCCTTTTAACACTTGAAATTCTTTAGGGTGCAGACAGACAGACAGTCACGCATGGTAAGAAAACCTTGTAATGTCATTTCTGAAGAACTGAAAAAGTGTTTTAATCTTTTGTCTTTCAGTCTCACTTTATCTCTGCACTGACAGTTGTGTTTGTAAACTCCAAATCCCTGTCCTCACTTAAGATAGACGACACCCCAGTAGATGACCCATCCCTTAAAGTCCTAGTGGCCAACAACAGTGACACACTCAAGCTGCTAAAAATGAGCAGCTGTCCTCATGTCTCTCCAGCAGGTATGTCATGTTTTACCAGACATATTTTAGTAACTGTATGGTTTCTCAAGTTTGTTTATTTAATGGTTCTGCTAATGAACTTGTAAATGAATTAGCAAAACCATTTCTTCTTCAAAAAAAAATTCAGTGTCCTAATGATAATAGCATAATACCTGCAGTGTTGTAGCTTAGACTGATTCATCTTATTTTTTAGTCATTTTATGTGGCAGACTGAGTAGAGCATGTGTTTGAAAATGGATAAATAACATGAGAAGAGAGGAAGGTTTATTAGCTACTCGATCAGGAGCAAAGACTCTGACAAAATCAGCTTAAGGATCGATGAAGCATCTCTTTTGGCTCAGCTTGAAAGTACTAGTATGGTTGGGAAGGTACAGTATAGGGGCATGAGGTAGGGGCCTCATTGGCTCTTCTGCAGTTTTGAAGGATAGGTAAAGTGGAGCGCAGCTATAAAACCTTGGGCCTTAGCCTAGAGATTCATTCTTCCAATCAGGCTTCACTAAAAGTTCCACAACATTCTAAACCAGCACTAACAGCTGTGACCAAACAAATGGTCAAGCATGAGTTTATGAGAGACATTTCACATTCAGACCACAAGGTGATGCTGCTGTAAGGTCTGTTTGAACTTGTTGAGATAAATAGAAATCTGCTAACTTTAATTGAGTTGTGGGTGTTTTGGATCAGACCAGTGACATAGTTACCTCTTACATAGAGGTGTGTCTAAGTATGGTTGCCTTTTTGAGAGAGAATGGTCTTTAAAACTTAAAAACTGTAGAAATAACTTTGTAAGAGGCCTTTCCAACTACTTTATGTAGAATTTTCTATGTATTAGTGCATCGTCCAGACTGAGATTTTTTAATTGCAAGTGATTTGTACTGAAAAGTATAAACACATTCTCCGACTCCTCCACTGTTGGAACCCCTCCATCTTCAGCCGTGTTGCTCAGCAGCGCTTGTCGGTTTGTGTTTCTTAGTATAACAAAGGATTGGGATGCCCTGAAATGAGGTCTGTGTCCTCTTCAGCGAATCTTAGAGTCAGTGTGGCCGAAAAGGAGCAAGACTGACTGGGTGCTGTGCTACCCAGTTGTAAGCAACTCACTGCACTGCTGCTGGACTTCGCTTGTTCTCTCAGATCACCCACAAAGAGGGTCTGGGTGATAGGAATAACTAGGTGTACTGTTGTCTTTACTTAGTCGTCTCAGCCTCTTCTAGATAATCACGAAAGGATTACAGAATAGAAGGTAAGAAGAGAATAAGAGAGCTTGGCAGTTATTTTTTATTTGACCTTGATCACATTTTATTGTCAGCTATGAGTAAGATCTGTCGTCTTAGGTTCATAGTGTGCAAGGCCCTTTGTCCCTATCCTCCACCCACCTTGTTTGCTCTTCACTCCCATGTCCTAGGAGCTGTAAGCCCTAGAGAACTGGACTTGTTTTGACCTCCAGTCAGCACTGTGCCTTGTGAAATAGTCTGTAAATTTTTTAATCTATTCATCAATTCATCATCATCATAAAACTTTTATTGAAAAAGAATTTATGAGCCAGGTGTGGTGGTACATACCTTTAATCCCAGCACTTGAAAGGCAGAGGCAGGTAGATCTCTGTGAGTTTGAGGGCAGCCTGGTCTACAAAGGAAGTTCCAGAACAGCCAGGGTGATTATACAGATAAACCCTGTCTCAAAGAACAAACAAACAAAGAGAGAGAATGTATGAACCATATACTTCACAAATCATGTAAAACATGATGTATTTGACTTGTAGTGTGCTGACAGAATAGTGTCTACGTTGTCATCACTGTGAATCTTAGAACATTGTCATCGTGACTGAAATGAAGCATGACTGGCAATACTACCCAGTTCTAAGCAACCACCATTGCTTTTCTGTCTTTGTAATTTGTCTATATTGGGTAGTTCCTACACATGGAGTTGTATTATATGTGTGTGTATCTGTTTGTGTGTCTTGTTTTCTGCTACTTAGCATGTTTTCAAGGTTGTTTGTGCTGTATAATCCATTAGAATTTCATTCCTTGTTGCTATGCAAAATCTGTTGCATGTTTATCTGGCGATCAGTTGCTAGGTGTTTGGGTTGCTTTCTACCTTTTGAGTAGAGCAGATACTGCTTATGTGGAAATTGAGTAGTTCTGTGTGGATGTACTGGTTCTCTGGGTGTATAGCTGACGACAGGGTTGCCAAGCCATGCAGTGGCTGTTTCTTCGCTTGAGGAACTATGCTACATGCCACACACTGGCTCCAGTATAGTTAGGTTACCAGAGCAACAAGAAGTGGCAAATCACTAAACAAAGATGTATTCTGGGAGTTCCAAAGGAAGATGTTAGGGAAGATTTACAGAACAAAAAGGACTAAACCCAAAACATAGGATGAGGGTAAGAGAATTCCCCTTGTATCATCCTCCATCTTCAGTAATGCTTATCTTTCTCATTACACCCATCCCGGACGGTGTGTACTAGTGCCATTGTGCTTTTGATTTGCACACGCAGCCCACCCCAGCCTCACTGCCACCCTTGCAGGGCCTCTCTCACTCTTGGAACTCACTGTGTAACCCAAGTTAGCTGTCAACTCACGGCGAGCCTCCCACCTCAGCTTCCCAGTTTCCAGGATTCCAGGTGCGAGCCATAATGCCTACATGCATGTTTTGATAATTTTATTGATGTTTTGAGTAGGATCTTAGTATGTAGCCCTGGCTGGCCTGTAATTCTATATAGACCAGGCTGCCCTTGAACTCTTAATGATGAACCTTCCTCTGCTTCCCGAGTGCTGGAATTAATGGCATGTGCTGCATGCCATTTGATGACTTCTCTTCATGTGCTTAATGGACATTTGTACATCTTCTTTGGGGAAATAGTTTGGTTTTTGCCTGTATTTTTCCCATTGCTTATTAAGTGTTTATCTTTTTATTATTGGCTTGTACTTGTCGCTATGCAGTTACATATTTAATGCCTATAACTGCTGCATTAGTTTACACTAATATCTGCTTATCAGATCTACAGTTTTGTAAGGCAGAGTTGTAGGCAGGTCTCAGATGGCTTCTGTGATTAGTATCTGTCAGTCTGGACTCGTATCTGGAAGCCCCATGATGGATCATTTCCATTCTCTCTCATATTGTGGGGTGAGTTTGTGTTGTTGAGGTTTGTTGCACCAACATCTCCGTTCACACTCAGTTTTGTGTGGTGAGAGATGGCTATTAGAGTCTGCTTGCTTATTTCTTTATTTTGACTTTATTATGTATGAAAAAATAATTTATCTAAACTTGTGCTGAGTCTAACTTCCTTTTCTTCAACTATCAATGAGTAAACTTGAGTCTAAAACAGCTCATATGTTTAGATTAAAACTATCTATATAATTTATCTTATATATCATAATATGATGATAGATATCCCTTGCCAGACCCACAGACAGTAGAATGTAGGATTTTGGGGGGAAGATGGCATTTTGAGAGTTATGACAATGGCAGCTCCTTTAGTAGTTTCTCTTGTTTCTATCTTTAACTTTTTCTGAATATTTTCTCTTTGTATTGAGCTTTTTGATGTTGCAGAGATGTGGTTAGGTTGTTTTGCGTGGCTAGGGCATATTTCAGAGTATCTAGAAGAACAGAAATTGACAGTAGCTAAATAACACATGGTCTCTTACTCACTTTTGCCTAAGTCTTATTTTTTGGGTCACTTTGTCTCTTCTCTTGATTATAGTGCCTGTTTTTGTTCACTCTTGTAAAGTTTTGCTATATTGGTGGTCTTGCTTTAAATAATAGTTATGTGCATAAACTTAGAGTCTCTTTATAGTCTAACTTTGCTATCTTTAGCTAGTTATATAATTTTTTCAATTCCTATTTTTAATGATGGTTCTTAAACTCTCTAACCTCCCTGGTAGCCCACCACCCACCAGGGGTAGTAGGAAAGACAGGATAATGGGGGAAGTGGAGCTGCTTAGAACAGTTCTTTGGAGCAGCTTCCATCTGTGTTGTCTGGAAATCAGCACCTCAGTTCAGTAGACTCGGGTTAGTACTGGGAAGTTCTTGGCTGTGCCTCTCGGAAAAACAAAGATCAGCAAAGATGAGAGACCCCACAAGCATTGCACAGCATTGTCCGAGCAAGCCAAGCTCTGTCTTTACCACTCCATGGAGTCCTATTTATACCCTCCAGACATCATGTGTTCTGCATGTGTCTTGGTCTCAGCATGTGCATCCAATCACCCAGAGTCCATGGAGTGGCAGGAAACTGCAGCACACCACCAGAAGTTTTTCTGGTGCGTTCCTCTATGGAGTCCTGACAAATGCAGCTTAACTACAGAATGTAAGGCAAACCGATACATGCATGTTGTTAGTAAAGAATCCTTCATCACATGTCCTTTCACGTGCTTATTTTAACAGAACATCTCTCTCCTGTGTCTGCTTCAGTGAAATGTTCTTTCACGAGTCGGCCTGAGCCTTGCACACCTGTGTCCACTTTAACGAAACGTTCCTTCACGTGTTTGCCCCAGCAAAATACCAACCGACTTTCCAAAGAACTCTTTTGTTCCCACTTCATAGTTGTCTCTACTTTGAACTAGAAATACTGCTTAGTTCCTTAGATGCTGAGTATTTGTGGACAAACATATTTAGTTCCTAGTATAGCTTGTGAAGTAAATAGCAATGAAAATGTGTGTTCTGTTTGTCCTGCTTCTTTTTAAATACAAGAAATGGATTGAGTGGCGTGATTGTTGGCTGTTTTGGACTCTTCTGTGGCAGAATCTATAAAGATACTTTGGAGTTTTTATTGCTACTTTTATTGATCTTTGGTAAAGTCATCTGTTTCTAGGATAATAGTTTGGGCAGACATGTCTTAAGGATGGGAGCATTTAAGAAATTGCTTTCCTTAGAGCTCAAAGCTCTTAACATTTTTGCTAATGTTGTTCCTTTGACACATTTAAGAGTGATAATTTCATATATCCTACAAATTTGATAAGCTTATTGCATACTGTTAATAGTTTAACTATAACCATTTGATGGAACTTTTCTTACTTTGTAAATATTGTGTTTCATTTATATGGTTGTATCATGTCCCCTTTCTTTTTTTTTTTTAAGTATAGAATAGAGTTTATTCAGGGTATGGGGAGGGGAGTTAAGAGGATAGTAGAGGCAGAGAGAGGGAGAAAGAGAACTTGCATGAGCAAGCGTTGAGGGGCTGGCCATGAGCGCATGGAAAGAGGAGAGAAGGGGGGAGCAAGAGAACAAGGGCTGTGCCCCTTTCTTTATATTATGATTTCATTTGAATTTCAGAAACTAGCCTCTAGTCTGTGTTCTAGTTGAACATGAAAGTTTTCTTAAACTGTGAGTTTAGTGTAATTTATTTTTATTTTTTTTTTATGATGTGGCAGCTGGCACTGCAAAAGACTGAGTTTGAAGCCAGCCCTGGGCTATATAATGAATTCTAGGGAGGAAAAAAACTGAGTGATGCCATACATTTCTAGGATAGATCCTACTTTTTTAAGGCATATTTTTAAAATGACGGTTACGATATTCTTGAGTTATAAATGAGCAACAAGGATATAGAATTGGTTTTACAAGATAAATATGAGTGAGTATAACTTCTAATTCATTATCACAACTGAATTTTTTAAAATTGCATTAATTGGTGAAAAGGGAAATGTGGCTCTTTTCTAGCACTTGATCAAACAGTTGAACATGTAAATTTTACAATAATTTACAAATAACTGGGCTTTGTCTTCCTCCGTAGGGATTCTGTGTGTGGCTGATCAGTGCCATGGCTTACGGGAACTGGCCCTGAACTACCATCTGCTGAGTGATGAGCTGTTGCTCGCACTGTCCTCTGAAAAGCACGTTCGATTAGAACATTTGCGCATTGATGTTGTCAGTGAGAACCCTGGACAGACACACTTCCACACTATCCAGAAGAGCAGCTGGGATGCCTTCATCAAACACTCACCGAAAGTCAACCTAGTGATGTATTTTTTTTTATATGAAGAGGAGTTTGACCCATTCTTTCGTTATGAAATACCCGCCACTCATCTTTACTTTGGGAGATCAGTCAGCAAAGATGTTCTTGGCCGTGTGGGCATGACCTGCCCAAGACTAGTAGAACTGGTAGTGTGTGCCAATGGGTTGCGGCCCCTTGATGAAGAGTTAATTCGCATTGCAGAACGTTGCAAAAATTTGTCAGCTATTGGGCTGGGGGAATGTGAAGTCTCATGTAGTGCCTTTGTTGAGTTTGTAAAGATGTGTGGTGGCCGCCTGTCTCAGTTATCCATTATGGAAGAAGTGTTAATTCCTGACCAAAAGTATAGTTTGGAGCAGATTCACTGGGAAGTGTCTAAGCATCTTGGCAGGGTGTGGTTTCCAGACATGATGCCTACTTGGTAAGGGACTGCATGACACAGGGCATGATACGTGAGTCGCGCCTTCAGTTGAAGAAGCTGTCTTCTAATAAAAGTTTATATGCTCTGGAGCTGATAAACTTCTACTGTTTTGTGGCACAGAAATTTGATGTCTTCGCTGAGCTTACACAGTGATGTTTGTGGAAGACCTACAGTTTGGTTCAGATAACTCATTTTTTTTATAGCCTAATAGCAATCAAATGTTTAAAAATTTAAAATGTGGTTTCCTATTTGAAAGTAATATCCAATTATGAAAATGAGATAATTCATAGTCTGAAAGAAACAACCTGTATATTGTAATATCTCAGAAGTATACTAATAGGTTTTCTAAAATGTTCTCTATGCATTTTTTTAAAAAATGTAAACTTGACATTTTAGGGTCTTCAGTTATAAATCCACCTGTTATAAGGTGTTTACTATAGCTCAGGAAAGGGAGCACTCTGAGAGAGAAATGTATGAGAGCCCTCGTCAAGACGCTGTTGAATGTTTTCAAACGTTAGGAAGCTGTTTTTAAAATACAGATATAAATATCAAAGTACTTAGAACACTGATAAATGTTGCAGTGGTTACTAAGGAGGGCACACAGAGCCAGGATCAAATCTAGAGAAATCCGTGGCGTAGGAGAGAGGTAGCACTTAGCTTTGTATAGACTTTAGGTTTCTTGTGTAATATGCTAAACCACATGCATTCTTTTCTGTTATATTACTAATGTTCGTGGTGCCTGAGGCGTTGTATGTAAAGGAATGCTTTACTCTCTCTTTTTAAGTCTTTATTTAAACTAGTTTTAAACTATTACACAATAAATGAAAATTTTACTTAAAAACCAAGTTGAAACAATTAAAGGTAGAACTTTAAAAATTGTTTATGAACAGTTTCATGAAAGAATATTAGTTTCCAGTGAACTTTACTGATGGATCATGCTTTAAGTTTGGAATTACATAGCTACAGTAAATACAACTTTAAAAATCAAAGAGTATCTGTATAGTTCAGAAACAATAAATTTAAACAAAGATATATTTCATAATAATTTGATTAAATATTACACAGTGAACTGGAACATTTTAATAGGAAAATACCTACAGTTTTGTGATTATCAATTTGGTTGAAACTGGTATTTTATATTATTTAAGTTATGTAGCTTTTCATATTACTTTCATATGAATAAAGGTAAATTCTAGACTTTGTAGAGTATAAAAAAAGTTTTCGTCATATATAGTTTTGGGGTTTTTGTTTTTGTTTTTGTTTTTGTTTTTGTTTTTGTTTTTGTTTTAGGTACTGTCTGAGCTTGGATTCTGGGCACTCGTGCTAACAGATATCTCTCCTGAGAGAAACCAGAAGAGATATACTGTAGCAAAGTTGTCAGTGCCTGCAATGGTTCTTTTTGGTAGCAGTGTGGCTTACAAAGTACCCTGATACTTATGAGAAAAGCTCAGTCTTACTTATTTCTTACTGAGAATAATGTGGCTTTCTACACCATTGATGCTTTTCAAAAGTGATGGTATTCTTTCAGGCACATACAGATGAGAAGGAAAAGACTGAGCCGGGCGGTGGTAGCGCACGCCTTTAATCCCAGCACTTGGGAGGCAGAGGCAGGCGGATTTCTGAGTTTGAGGCCAGCCTGGTCTACAGAGTGAGTTCCAGGTCAGCCAGGGCTACACAGAGAAACCCTGTCTCGAAAAACCAAAAAAAAAAAAAAAAAAAAAAGAGAGAGAGAGAGAGAGAAAAAAAAAAAGACTGACCCAGAGTTCCACATTAAAGGCAACTATTATAATATTTTACTCTTACTAAATAGTAAGAAGCTTTGACTGTACAGGAAATACTTGTGCTAGTTGGTGGTTGTTTTTTGTTTTGTTTTTCTTGAACAACATTGAAAAATGAATTTGATGGTATATAGTCAGTTTTACTAACCAAAGCTTTATTTTAAACTTGCTTTTTGTACAGATTGAATTACATGCTTGAATACTTTAAGTCACTTTATAAGCAAAATGCATAGCACTTAATTTGTTTATACTGTAAAATATATGTTAAGTGGTTTTATCAACTTGAGAATAAAGATAGTTACTAATATGGTTGTATTTTTATAACTTTAAGAACTAATCAAGCATCATTTGGTAGTCTTTTAAACAGTAGTAGACTTTTAGTCTTGTAAACAGTAATTTGAAGATACAAAACTAGGCACATTGATTCTGTTCTGATGTTCTAATACCTGTGAAATTTACCATAAAATGTAAGTTTTTTATGATTAAAAATAAGGAATACGTTCTTTATGTATTCAGAATGAAAGCTTTACTCAGAATTGTAACTCTTGGTTCAGGAGATGGCTCGGGTGAAAAGCTGGTGAATACTCTTGACAGTTTTCAGCATGCACATCATTTTACAACTACTTACGTAACTCCGGTTCCAGAAGATCTGAAGCCTCTGACATCCATGGGCACCTGAATTCATTTACATACACATACCTAGACACCCACACATAATTAAAACGTAAGACTATTAAAAAAAAAATCTTAGAGTTTTCTTTTGCCTAGCAAGCCGAAATCTCTAAGTCAAAATAGTTTTAAAACCATAGAAATGTTTCAGTAAACAGATCAGTTTGCTGTAATTGGCAATCTAGGTTATCTTTTAAAAATAGGTCTTGCTAAGCAGTAATATGTTACAGTAATCTGTTTGTAAAACCTGTTTATATTTGAGGCCATTCTTAATGTTAGCAAAAAGTTAAGAAAAGTATCACCTGTTTGCTGGCCCTAAACCTTCCTTTAAGGAAAAAAACAAAAAACAAAAAAAAAAAAAACAAAGCATTTTTACTTAGAGTAAAAGCTTATTCTTAGAATTAATAATCAACTCACCAAAATGTAAATACCTAAATAGTTCCAACAAGGAAGAAACTCTTGAAGGCACTTGGAAGACCATGAAGCTACCTGGACATTGAAGGGTAAATAGAAGTGTGTTTCTTTTTAAAAGTTGGCCGGTTACGGGTGGAACAGTTTTTAAGCTGTTGAGAAGACTAAGCCAGGAGGATTGCACATTCAGGGCCCGAGTGAGTTGTAAGGGAAAGGCCAGCCTGGCAACTTAGACCTTGTTTCACAAAGTTACAAAGGACTGTAGTGATACAGTAGTTCAGTGGGAGAACACTTCCCTTGTGTGTGAGCGTGTGTGCTTTGTGTGTGTGAGAGAAAGAAGGAGGGGGAGAGAGACAGAAAGCAAACACACTTATCCTCAGTACCACCAGACACGTTACATCTTAGAGAAACTGAAGAACATTGTTACTAAACACTTTCCTCTGTGTATATAATGTTTTGATCATGTTCACTCTCCCTGTCTGTCATTCACCCTTGCCAAACTCCCTTCTACTCTTGTGTCTGTTTTCCTCCCCTGAGATCCACTTAGATTAATCAGAGATGCTGGAATAAACAGGGTGGGAGGTTACTGAAACGTGAGCTGTTTAAGAGTGGCAGTACCACTTGGAAATCGACTGACTTCCCCCAGCATATAAACTACCAATAGTTTGTGAAGGGTGTGGCCTCCTGAGCCCCATCCCCATCCAGGACGAATATGTTTACAACCCCATCTAGGGCAGATAAACAGACTGCTGTGAGTTCTGGAGTGCCGTCGCCATGGCCTGCCCAGATGGCAGCATTTCATGGTGCCCCGTGCCATTCCCCTAGCTCGTAGGTTATTTCTGCTGTCTCTTCCATGATTACTGAGCCTTGGAGGGAGTGACATAGATGTTGTGTTTAGGGCTGAGCACTAGACCGTTACTCTCAGCGCTTTGACCCAGATATTAATCTTGTAATTTTTTTTTTCCTTTTGATTTGTCTAGGGAGCCACTATTGAATGGAGGTAGGTTCTGAGTATTTGATAGTTGTTTTACCTTTTAGCTGTTTTCTTCTACCTACAACAGTAAATTACCTGTTAATGAGCCAGGTTAGTGGTGGTGATATGTTTATTCCGAATAATATATTTATCCTGAAGCCCTAATATTCAAGCTCTTAGAAGAAATAGTACACATTTATAACTTGAACTGACAGAAATAGAGACATACTCCTATGGCAACAAAGTTTAATCTGTAGATCCCTGTTTTTAACAAAAAGCAGGACATAGAAATTGGCCAGGCAGTTTAGGATAGGAGACCCTAAAAGTAAAGGTTTTTGTTGGCTTAAAATCTGCAAACGTACTTCACCTTCTGCAGTTTCATCTTTGCCAAAGCCAGAGAGACCAGAATGGAGACCCATCTTCCTAGTAAACATGCCTGTCTGGGCTCTGTAAAGCAGTACAGACTATCGCAAGGCTGAGCCAATGGGCTCATCCATTCCCCATGCTTCAGGTTCTGCTTTAAATCCACAAGAACCCCTAGACTAGCAGTTCATGTTATCCCAGAAACTACTCTGCTACACAAGAACCCCACCTCTTTTAAGCTCCTACCTATGAATCTAGTGAAAGCCCTTGCCTATGAATTGCATTCATTTGATTTACATACACGAACCAGGAGGCCACTGACTCAGTGCAAGTGTTTTGTGATCATGAGCTTCAGGGGCCTGGAGCTGTTAAAGCCCCACGGAAGTGGACACTGCTTGCGCCGGGAGGTGGCGCGGGTGGAGACACAGGTCGCGGCCGTGGAACGGTGGTCCTGGGGCGCGTGTTCAGTCGCACAGGGCAGGGCAGACGTAGCCTCTCAAGTCGTGGCTAGAGCAGCCTCGGACGGCTGGGCCCGAGAGGGCGGGGAGCAGACTGGAGGGTCTGCCTCTGCCCCAGCCTCCAAAGGCAGGCGAGTGTTACAGCTCTTTTGGTTCCCTCTCTCCAAGGGCAGCCCCGGAGTGCCCACAGAGGGAAAAGTGTTACAGCTCTGTCCAAACCGCTTCGAACCTCGAACCTCGGAGCCGGGAGGAGAGAAGTGTTGTTGTCCTTTGAAGTGCGCAGGATAGCAGGGAGGAATCACGACAAAGCACTCCGACAGCCGGAAAGATCTCACATCACACACCTCTCTTACTTTTGAGCTTTGGGGGATATATACAGTTTTTTGGGGGAGAGCAGGTAACTCCTATTGGTTTGGTTTGAGAGCTTGGGAATGCCTTATTTACATGGAGGTGTTATTCCTATGTGATCAAAGGCCATGGACCACTCTGTGGAGGGGCTGTGGGGGGCGGAAGCTAAGAGAGCCAGATGGCTTTTGGGAAAGTTTGAAGCGGCCTCCTGTCCTACTGGCCTTCTTCAGACCAAGGTTTCCGGGGCTTCAGATCTTTCTACCAAGCTTTCTGGCTTTTTCTCATAGCCCACTGCCCCACACCGAAGCAGTACAGAAAGCCTTCAAAGTGAGATGGCCCATTCTGCCCGTGCCACTGATTCCCAACTACTGTTAGCCGTTTTGAATCACCCGTGCCTCAGCATTGTCTTGTACCTTGTGATTTCATTTCACAGCTTGATAAACTCTGGGGAAATCATGTGACTTGTGCCTCTGCCATCACCACCTGATTCTACTACTTTCACAAGCCCTTTTCATTTACTAACATTCTCCACAAATGACGCTTTTTCTTTAAAATTTTAATTTTTTTTAACGCGTTCACTTTACATCCTGCTTGCTGTCCCCCTCCCAGGCACCCCCTCCTCCAATCCTTCCCCATGCCCCATCCCCTTCTCTTCTGAGTTGGTGGGGACCCCACCTTGATCACCCCCCCCCCACCCTGCTACTTCAAGTCTCGAGAGGCTAGATGCTACATCTCCACGGAGTCACGACAAGGCAGCCCAGCTAGAACATATTCCATGTACAGACACCAGCTTTTGGGATAGCCCCCACAATGCTCTGTAACACCGTAGAATCTTATTTTAGAAGTCAAGTTCCTTGAGCATGCCCCACACCTCCCTTGTCACAAACCAAAGTCTGTGATTTAAAATGGCATACTAGGTACAAAAACCTCAACTTGTCACCTCGGGGCAGCTGGGAAATTCTACTTTTTTCACAGTAACTCAATATGGTATAGATTAGTGTTGCCTGCGTTTAGCCTCTAGATACAGTAGTAATGTGAAGATTCTTAACACCACATCCTGAAGACACTGAGGTCAAAGAGGCAACATTGTTGGGTTGGTACAGGCACTGTTATGGTGAATAGATAAGCCAGAGGCAGTGGTAGATGGTCCCCTTTATGGTCCCTTTATGTTTGGGGACAAGTCTACCTCTTTAGGGTAGGCAGAACAGTGCAGTGTGTGATCGTCCAGTCATCTGGGGTCTCTTTGGCTTTGTGGGGTTTATACTTTTAAACAATAGATTCCTAGACAAATAAGTTCAAAGATACAAAGTCTAAGCCCTGTTTTTTTTTCTTAAGTTTTTTTTGTTTTGTTTTTGTTTTTATTAGCCTGAACAGAAACAACACAGACTGGCAACATTTGGTGCATTGACACTGGTCTAAAGGCCACAATCTGAAGAGTGCTGAAAAACATCCAGTGTATCCTGAGTGAGAACACAATTCCAAGTCTCTTTATCTTGCTAAGCTTTGACTTAAAAATTTGGGCCAGCAGATACAAGCTGAGGCTTCTTAAGACAGTTCAACAATAGTGTACTAACCTCTCAAGAAGCAGCCAGCTATTTGGTAGAAATTAATAACTGGCACATTTCTATATTAAAAGACTTTTTCCATCATGCTAGTGTTAAATAGGGGGAAAAAAACAAACCGAGTTCAACTGATCAAAATACAGAACTCTGAGAGCTTGTCTCATGCCTCTAACAGCAACACAGTGAAACGACAAAGGTCCTTGACAAAATTCTGTCCTTTTCAGAAGAGTGTACTCTTTCTGATGATGGTAGGAGAAAAACCAGAGGACATAAACAGGAAGTCAGAAGTACACTTCACCTAGCCATGGCTGGAGCCAGATACCTCCATGGCCTGTTCTGAAGAACTGCTGAAGCAATGTGTACTGTCTGTCAGTTCAGAGTCTCAGTGATTACAAGGCTCGAATGGATGGCCTGTAATACACATCAGGCAAATTCAAGGATGACAGTTTGTGTTCTTTTGGTCCCAGTGGAGAAAAAAAAAAAAGATATACACACACACTCAGTGTGCTCTCCTATGCCTACATAGGTCCCCCAGTCTTCATATTCCTGGTAGATGAATCATTTTAGAGACAAGGACAAATCTAGAGCTATTAAGTTGCTTCTTTCACAACAGCCAAAAATTCTACTGTATTTGCCGTGTCTAGAGTCACTGCTTCAGTAATAGAGTCCAAATAAGGCTTTACGGTTATGTGAATACAAAGTAGTTAGACCTGGACCCCGAGGCTGTAATAACTATAGAAACAGCTATCCTTTAGATGGCAAAACAAAACAAAAACCCTTAAACTAAGAAACAGCACTACTGCAACAGAAAAAGTAGCCCAAGAAAAATGTTAACCTTGGGATCAAAGAATCTCCATAGCTGAGATCGAGTAATTTCCAATAAAATAAAGATTACAACCCATTCACTTGGGTCAATTCAATTATGGTTTCTGCTTCTTAGCAAGAGTCTTGAAATGTCTGTATACTGCACTTCCAGCAGTGAGCCCTAAGAAGGGAAGGTGAATAAAGACACCGATGTAGACACAGCCCTGGAAGAACATGGATGCTGGTGGCTGGAGAACGCCAGAGTAGAAGCTGTCACAAGTCAGTAAGTGTCGTATGTCTGTCTGCTAGGTAAGGGGTTTTCCTCGTATGTTATTTTGACAAAAGGGGATTTCATGGGTAAAAACCAATACTCAAAGTTATAAAACAGGTAGAACTCTCTGTGTATAACTACTGTGTCAAAAATTTTCAAGAAATTCAACAGAAAATCTTTGGTTGATGAATACGGTTTAAAGGGGCCATAAAATTTTTTTATGGCCAAAGCAAGAGTCTTGTTTCCTTTTGGCCCAAAAATAGATGTTTCATTTCCCAAGTAAATAGGTTCTCCGCTGTAAAGAAATATTTTTGTATAGTTTGTTTCTGTCTTCTTGAATTCTGTTCCAAATTCAGCCAACTTCTCATATGTCCTTAAGACAAAATTCGAACAGTCGTAGGATTCAAACCACGTCTGCTCCTCTTTTCCTGGGCCAGCCCGGACCGTCCATGTCTCGTAATAAATCCCAGTTTCATTATCCTGCTTCACCCACTCGGCTAGTTTGTTAAATGTGTTTCCTAGTTAAAAAAAAAAAAAAAAGAAAAAAGCAACAAAATAAACTGCTTATACAATGTTCTGATGCAATTAAGACCAAGATGGATGAATAAGAAACACTTTAAAACTTCCAAGCCTTGATCTCATGACAGGACTACAAGCTTGGGCACATTTTCTTCCATTCTTAAGGCCTTTGAATTACAAATACAAGATACAATGGGGATACAGAGAGGACTCCTAAAATTCTGTAAGTATTTAAGCTAAGGTCAGAGTGATAGTCAAGAGTGTCAGCATACATATTCCAAAGTCATTCTTCTCTACTCAAGTCCTGGATTCAGAAGCAAAGGAGAAAAGGGAAGACCTAGGAGTGAGGAAAGAGGAAAGACAAAGACGGTGTAGGAACAAGGGAAAGGGGCAATGGATGAACTGGGAAAAGCACGGGAGGCTTGGTGGGAGTGACTGCTGAGGAGCAGCAGTCCTGCCTCAGCTAAGCCACATGCATTCTCTCACACATGAGAATACCAGCTATCCCCTTTCCCTGTATTGTGCTTGTTGGGATGCTGCTGACAACACACCACACTAATGCCCCTAACCAGTCAACCAAACTGGCCACTGTTTGTGCTGGCTTCACAGACTACACAGACTCCTTGGTGGCTAAGTCTTCTCCTACCACCTTGAACCAGATCAGAAGAATCTCTTCAAATACTTAAGAGAATGCTGTTTTTCTGCACAGTGCAGCTCTTACCTGGGCATTTATAGATACAACAGCTCTAGGCCCCTGAATCTCACTACCAGCAAACCATTCTTGGGTTACACCAGACTGAGTTCCTGAAGTAAAGAACTCATCTGTCGAGGGAATCCACTGAATTCCTTTACTACTTTTAGGGACATAAAACTGCAGTATTCTAAAGTCTGCGTTAGGATCGGAGGTGACTTGGAAAAGCTGGACTTCCAAACACTGTGTCGGTAACATCCAGAGAAGGTCAGGGGAGGGGGTTAATCATAGGCAAGTTGAAGAATGAACTTACAAGCTTAAAATTCTAGCAGATGAAAAGCATTTTACAGAAAAAGTGATGACTGTTTGATTATCTGAGGAGGAGGGAGGGGGATGTGAACTGGCTCGGATGTCATGCAGAAGCCACTGGGTTTACTGGGTATTGCTGAAAGAGACGGGCTTTCATGGTTGGGATATTGGGGTCATGTGGCAGGCAGGATTTTCCCTGTTCAATTACACTAACATATTAGTGCAGCAGGAGCCCTGTGTTTGGACAGGGAAAAGGGAGGCGGAGCTAAAAGTTACAGAGAGAGAGAACCCGACTAGGGAGGAGAAGAGAAGGAAGGAATCAAGATGGAGGACGGACAGGAAGAAGATCACGATCCCGCGTGGTCTTAAATAACCACAGGTAGTTATGAATATCATGTAGAGATAGAATAATTGGGGTAACATGCCTAATCTAGTTGGGCAGCTTACATCTTTATCAAATGGCCCTGAAGTTATTGTGTCAGCATCTTGTGAATTGAGAATTTACCATATATAAATCCGACTGGTTAACTATAAGCTTCAAGAGTTTTGTTTTACTGGGTTACTGGAATGTGGGACCGCCGACCAGAGGGGTTAGGGCTGGAGAGAAGGAACTAGTGGCTCCAGAGACAAGCAAACCAGAGCTGGGAATACTGTGACCAGCTGCTGTAGGGGCTAGCTAGAGACGAAGGTGGCAGGACCACACCAGGGCTGAGAGTTGCTGGCAGTAGCACGGGAAGCCTGACAGTCCTTCTTTTTAAATATTTCCTGCAACAGGGTCATGTGAATTAGAAAATAGAAGGAAGATCAGAAATGTAGTGACCATATTAAAAGACTACAGGTTATTGGGCTGGAGACATGACTCAGCGGTTAAGAGCACTGACTGCTCTTCCAGAGGCCCTAAGTTCAGTTCCCAGCAACCACACATGGTGGTTCACAACCATCTGTAATGGGATCTGATGCCCTCTTCTGGTGTGTCTGAAGGCAGCCACATACACATAAAGTAAATAAAATATATACTCATATACATAAAATAAATAAAATCTTTAATTAAAAAAAAAAGACTGCGGGTTATGTTTAAAAGACCACAACTATAGATGTGGCCTGTTCCATCCAGCTCTGTGACTAAAAGTGTCAATCAGGCCCCTGGGCTGAAATCACCTGTATCAATTCCTTATCTGTAAAAGCCTAAGGGAAGTCTTAGCCTCCCCCACCAAATTTTGAGTCAGAACATCCTAAAGTGTTGTGTAAAAACCAATAAATACCCAGGTCTTTTCCACCAGCCCTGAGGCGTCACAAAGAGTGATTCTGTTTCAGCACTTCCCTTTGGTGGACAACCAACACGTATAAAGTAAAGTTCACATATGGTATGAGCAGGCCCTGTATTACCCAGAAGAGGCAATGGACCAGTAAGGTCAATGTGACCTAAGGTCACATAATAAACTACCAACAAAAGTTCAGAAGGCAAAAGAATCAGCAATATGTAATGCAGTGAAGGCAAAGTTAACTGTGCCATCAATCTCACAATACAAAACAGCAGAAAATGTTAAGAGAAGAACACTTAAACATCGTTCAAGAGGACTTGAAACTGTGGGAGGCAATGTACTGGAGTTCTTAAGAGAATTGCCCATAAGGCTCTCCTGCAGGACCAGAGTCCCATTTATTATCTGGATAGCTTTAACCTTTATCTCAGTTTCCCCATCTGTACAATGGGGAAGACTGTAATGAGTCTCTCAGGAGATGCTCGTAAGTGATCGAAGTTGAGTGCTCAGAAGATGGACAGACCCAGAAGCAGCACATCCTTAATATTTCTCCCTGTAAAAATAAGCTATAACCACAATTCTTTTCAGACACAGTTAAGAGGCCTCCCTAATAGGACATTTTACAGCTCCCCTAACTGTTACCTATTTGGATTCCAATTTAGCTATATTTGTTTCTCTCATGTTTATCACGGGCAGAGCAGATGAGGCACACATCTCCCAGCAAGGCTCTGCACCAGGATCCAGTTGGCTCAGTGTGTGATGTCACCACAAGTACAGACTACAAATGATCACCACGAGGCAGATGACTGAGATCTCAGTGAATGAATGAATGGAATCTTCCACTTGCACACTGATGCAATCATTAAACCCTACCCCGATGTTGTTGTTGAAACTTACCGGATATGGTTGCAACTAGCGACAACGTCCCGTTTTCCTTCCAGTGTTTATCCTGAATTCCTTCAAAAAAGCAGGCTGCCCCTTGGTTACACCAGAAGGGAGCGTTCATTTCAGGCCGGAGGTGGGGAAACGTACAGTTGCCAAGCTGGAAAAGCTCATACCATTCAACTGTGTAGTTCTTGCCAGTCAGCATACTCCTGAATCCAATGGCATCGTGCATAAGTTTCTGTGTAGGGACAACAGGTGTGAGATCCTCTGTGAGGTAACCATGGGCCCAGGTCACCCATGGGAGAGAGTTCAGTACACCACAAATGTGCACCAAGCATAACAACCGCTTAAAGGGGCTACACTTCTGTGTTACTGTCACATGGAGGTGACATCATGGCCCCTCAAGTTTCAGGGACCCATAACTTTGGTTCTGGCAACTAGGGCTCATTTCATCAGGGATGTGAGCTGTGTAAAGACATTTGAAATCCTCTCGTAGCTAAGTAATACAGTAAGCAAGAAAAGCCTTCAGGATTGTTCCAGGAAAGAGTGTGGCTACCTCTCAGGGTGATTCACTGAGCTGGGAAAGGGGCCTATAGCAGAACTTGGAGATCAAGAAGTGGTTCCTGACTGACAGGCCCTTCTCATTCTCAGGAGCTGAGTACGGAAGGGGAGTTTAGGTGATTGCAAGGCAGCTCCTCCTGAGAACACATGGACTCTTCAAGCCAACAGAAAGTCTTTATTCACAGGCCAGAGGGCTAACGTGGGAAACTTGTCCAAGTGTATAGTGTGTAGCCATGAGCCTTACCAACCTTGGCTTTACACACACACACAGACACACACACACACACACACACACACATGCACACATCCTGGGTAATACACTTCAATTAGCAAGAACAATTAGTAGTAAGTGAATCTACAGATATAAAAAAAACAAGGTTCATACATTTAGAGACTTCCCTAGAATTATTTACTGTGATAGATTGGATCTTCGTTCTTGTTTCAGCCAGTTTTGGAGTCTATATACTGAGCTTTTAGGTCAGGGCACATGTTACTCATGGCAACCTTTGCTCTGTTTTTGAGACAGTCACATCCTGTACCCCAGGTTGACTCTGGAATGGTAATTCTCTTGCTTGGAATGGAAGCAAGTCCCGAGATTACAGTTTCACAGTGCCATGCAGACTCAGCGGTAACTCCTTCTGACTACCAACTTAAAGGTCTAAGAAGTACACCATAGGCTGTAGAGATGCCTGAATGGATAAGGTGCTTGTTATGCAAGCATGAAGACCTGAGTTCAAATCCCGAGCATGTACCTAAAAGCCAGTCATTTGCACTTGTGTCTGTTACCCCAGTGTTGAGGGGAGGAGACAAGCTCACTGGCTCATTGAGCAGTTTAGACAAGAATGTAAGCTTCAGGTTAAATGAGAGACCCTGTCCCAAGGGAATAATATGAAGAGTGACAGCCACCATCCTCCAGTCTCTTCATGTTTGTGAATAGGTGCACACACACACATAAACCACCCAAAGTTATCTATAAATATGACCTAGTAACCATTTGATGACTCTTTTATGTCAAAGTAATAACTAAATCACTTAAGCAAAGTTACAAGATCAAGATGCATGCTTACAAAGCGTCCCAGGAGGTCTCCATATTTAAATTCCCAAATAGGAGCTTGTAGTCTTAAGACTTCGATGACGTCATTGTCCTTCATAACCGGGATGGGTGAGCCAGTAGGGCAGAAAGTGTACTTAGCTTGACAGTAGGGATCTGTCTTCGGACGGAAAGAGAAGCGCCTGGTAAGACAGAGAACCATCAAATTACATCATAAAAGGAACTGCTCTTCAAACACACTTTAGAATCGCAATTTTCATTTCAGGCTCGCTCAGCACCCCCCCCCTCTCTCTCTCTGTGTGTGTGTGTGTGTGTGTGTGGTGTGTTACATGTAGTGTGTGCATATGTACAAATGCCTTTCCTTGACTGCTTTATATCTTTATTTCTTGAAACAGGCTCTATCACTAAACTGGCCAGCCAATGAGCTTCAAGACTCCGCCTTTCTCTGAGTCTCCTTCCATAAGGTCAGGGTTACAGGTGTGCACTGCCATGCTGGTTTCTGAGGCACTGAGCCGTCTCCTCAGTCCTCAGCAATTTTTTTAGGGAAAACATTCAAAGCCTAGATCATAGTGACTTGCTTTCATACAATCACTTCCAATGATGCGCTAAATATGAAGTCATTAACCAGATTTTGTATTTAGAAATAAACATTTGCCTAATATTTACTGAGGCTCTACCATGTACAGAAGAACTACACTGAGGAGAAGGGAGACAAAAATTGTAACCTTTCCCCTTCCTCACCAAACTTGGGGTTGGAGCTTGGAAGATGTTAAACAAGTCAGAAGGTAGCTTCTGTAAGAACAAAACTAAGGAAACAGACCTAAGGCACATAGGAGTAAGAAATCAGTTTCAGCTGTTGGAGACAGGTAGAACTATTAGGTGAAGGTACCAGAGAAGAAAGGTAGGCCAGGAGAAGAAGAATTAGTGTATGACACACAGGAAATACCTCAGTGGTTTTTAATCTTCCTTAATGCTGCGATCCTTCAACACAGTTCCTCATGTGGTGACCCCAACCATAAAATTACCTCATGGCCACTTCATAACATAATTTTGCTACTGTCATAAATCATAATGTAAATCCCTGATATGCAAGATATCTTCTATGTGACCCTGTGAAAGGGTAGTTTGGCCCCCAAGTTGAACGGCTGAAATACCTGAAGAGGCTACAGACACGAATTCAAGAGAAGAGCAGACAGGGATCCCAGTCTGTCGTGGCAAGTATGAAATGGCATGCAACAGCCCTGAATGCGCTCTGAGGATTTTTAAGAAGCAGATCTGATAGGGCCGAATACAGAGAGCCACCTTTATGGTAAGAATCAGAAGAGTGGCTGGGGTTAAACTGAGGCTGATGCTAGTCCCCAGGCTACAGCAGTGCTCAAAGCAAAAGACCCATGAGGACACCTCAACTGGAACAGACTGGGACCATGGCTCAGCACACACACACGCACACGCACACGCACACGCACGCACGCACGCAAGCACACGCGCGTCTCCCTGGTCACCTCTGTGATGGGCAGCACTTGTGCAAAGGAAAGAGGAAGAATTCTGAGATCCTAAAGGTTCCTGCCCGAGTATTCTATTACAGTCTTAACGCGGGGACAAAAACCTTCTGCTCTAACTTACATCTCTATACCAGTTGTCAGGTGGGAACGTCAAGTTCGGGCTTCTTCAGAAACAAAAAAATCAGTCAGCCTCCCATCTCCCGGTATTAAATAAAATACTTTGAGATTTACAAGCTTTCTTGTTTTATTAGGTATTTAAGTTTTTTTTTCTTGTGAATATTTTCATGAAAATCAACTTCAAAACGTAAACTTTTTTTTCTCATATACACTTAGCAGACAGAACCAGTTCATGAACAGAACACACGAATATTTAAGTTCAGCAACAGCTGGTTTTCACCAGAAATGAGAGTGCTACTATCATTTCCTGTTTTCTGTTCAGGGCATGTATGCATGAAGATTCTGAGTAACTCTCCTGAGACCACACAGAGCATGAGCAGATGGAACCAGATTTGGTCTGCAGCTTTCAGTACTAAGAACCCCTTAGAGGAACACGCACCATGCCATGATCCTCTCCCCTTATGCTGTTATGCAAAACACTTGTTTTCAAAAGCTGCAGCTCTTTCCACTTCACGATGTCCACACCAGCCACCACCCCAGCCACCCCTGTCCCCCGCGACTCCGAACCGCGTGCGCTTCGTGTTTCGCAATTCCCCACGGGCTGTCAGAACTCAGCTAGATCAAAGACTGCAATCAGCTTCTCAGGTCCGGAGCCCTACCTACCTCCGGGGTGAAGTGGACTAACAAGGTGATCCTGACTGGCCCAGGGAGGAGATTCCCCGGGCTTGGTGTTTAGATCAGTAAGGACACATCAGAGCAAGCGGCTCCCTGTAAATTCTGCCCAGATGTTATGCAATGACATCTAACGATAAGGCATGAAATAAAGGCAGGGTTTAAAACGTTTTAACTTGCTCTCCGAGTCAGTTAGTTATACTTAAAAGTCACTCCGTGCAGTAATGTCACTGCATTCCTCGCAGGACTCTGAATGGCCCTGAACCGGGATCGCCAATAGCCAACTAATTAGAAACTATGCTCGCAGTGTCGCCCGCCCCGTGCCCCGCGTCCCCGAGCGCGCTGGAGTATCCGATCCGCGCTCTCCAGGTCCCCTCCCCGCCCCTCTCCGTCTCACTCACTTGTAGGGCACCGGCCAGCGTTGCCCAGACGTCGGGGACGCGCCCAGAGTCGCCGCCAGCCCGAGCAGCGCCAGCGCCAGCGCCAGCGCCAGCGCCGGGCGCCAGTGCGCTCCGCGTGGCCCCGCGCGCGGCATCCGCGGCTCCCTCAGATCCCGGCGGCTCCCGGCCCCGGCGTCGACCTGGCGTGCGCGCCACCGCGACGACGAGACAGCCCGGCGCGAGCGCAGGCTCCGGCGTGTGACCTCCGGCCGCGTGACGCCTCCACGGTCCTGGCCCGGGCGGAGCGCCTCTGCTCCACCGCGCGTGCGCCGGACGCTAAAAGGCTCACTCCTCCCGGAAGGAGCTTGAGCCTGGTGATGCAAACCTCGCTCCAACCTGGTGGGTGTGTTATGCCTCTAGCGAAGGTGCTTTCAGTCCTCCCTGCAGCCACCACCAGCCAAACCATAACAACAATAAAACACTTATGAACTTTCTTGACTCACATGGCCCAGGCCAGTCTCCAACACAAATCTTCTGCTTGGAGACACTGGGTGCTCAGAGGAAGAAAAAAAAAAAAAAAAAAAAAGGACATTTACAGAAAATGATTGCCCTCACCTGGCCGGAGAATGTTGCAAAGATCAGCAATAACAAGATGCTTTCTGTGCTGCCACTGGCATCACCAGACTTGGTCTGCTCTGCTCCGGTTTTGCTACACTTAGTATTAAGCTGTGCCCTCATGACTGTCAGCCCACAGTCCTGGCTATTGTCGCCTGCTTCCTCTTTAATGATGATGTCCCTTTAGTCCCTGACTTTCAAAGTTTAAGACCGACCAATAGAGCTAGGTTTAATCCATCTATCCTCGGGTCCTCCTTGTCCAGTTAATATAAGATTATTAAAAGCATCACGTGAGACAATGGAATCGGGTTTATCAGACTACCGCACTGCGAGATAGCAGCCAGGAACACTCAGGGATGCTGGGGAAGGATGGAAAGAACAGAGATGAGACTGAATCAGGCAGTATTTTGGCGGTTTCCTAGCAGAGTCACTATGTATATGCGCACAGGAGCTGCATGAGGTATGAACTACAAAGTGAACATAGGATCCTCTTTGCTAGCAAATTCTGAAGCTCAAGAAGAGACAGAAATGTCGTATCAAAAGAAACCCTGTATCAAAAGCTTTGGACCTATCTGGGTTATAGTGAGAAGCTGATTCTCAGAGATTCTCCTGCCAACGGTTCTAGCTGTTTCATCCTTGCTGATATATTTTCCAAAAGAAAAAAATTTAAGTCTGTAAATTTTAGGAGACAACGTTTCTCAGTGACTGAAAAAGCAGGATATCATCATGATACTTTAACTTCTACTTGGGTGGTGGGGGAATACAGACGCTAAAAAGTGCTGTCCTCCCAGAAGGAGCTTGAGACTGGTGAGGTATTTTTACTCCAGGATGATAACTACTCAGGCAAAGTTGTGAATTTCAAGCTCATCTTTACGTTCTCATTTCTAACCCTGTGAACTGAATGAATCACTATTCTGAGAAGGGTCTCCAGGCGGCTAAAGGTTCTGTTGAGAACACGGCATACTTCGCCCCTGATACTAATTTTCTAACCATATTTTAACCAAAGAGCCAATGATATTTTAACTAGGTGTGTAGGCCTTAGATATACTCACCTGTTTTATAGACGCTTAACTGCCCTAAACAAATACAGCAACTGTATTATAGCCTCTACTTTCAGGTGTTTTTATTGACAGTTTCACTTGCCTGTCACAGCGTACTGTCAAAGATACTTCCAAGCAAATAGGTCAAAGATGAGTTTAAAAGTGCAGTTTATGGTTGAATTTACTAAGGTTTGAAATTACGATAGTTACTCACGAGGAGAATCTATATATGACACTTAAACCCCTAATTCCAAATCTAGAAATTTATAATTTACGATCTTTGACCATTTACACTGAGTCTTTTAGATAGTCTTTAAGCTTGCACTAATTTATTGAATATGATTTTTACTTTCATTTTGAACAGTTTGGAGTCTTTCTCAAGAAAACCAGTTTCATAAAAAAGTGTCTCTCTTCTTTATATGATTTGCCAAAACATATTGTCTGGACATGGAGGAACTTCTGAAATCCCAGCACTCAGGAGACTGAGGCAGGAGGATCTGTAGTTTGAAGACATCCAGGTCTATAGAGCAATACCTTATCTAAGAACAAAACCTAAAGAACGGCAACAAAGAAACCAATATAAGTCCAGTTGTCGGGACTCTAAACTGAACTGTGCCTCAGAAGGCCAAACTAAAATGGAATTGCTTGTCCTATCTTTTGTGTAAACAAAGGGAATTAATTTTTTGTGTGTATGAGTGTTTGGCATGCATGTATGTCTATGTATCATGTGCATGTAGTGCCCTCAAGCCGGAAGAGATCGTCAGATCCCTGTAGAACTGGAGTTACAGACAGTTCTCAGCCACCAGATGAGTGCTGGGGATTGAACCTGGGTCTTCTGTAAAAGTATCGAGTGCTCTCAGCCGCTGAACCTTACCCCTGCCTAAACAGTGAAACAGTAAACAGAGAAACCCCCTAAACTGGAGATTTATAACAACCAATCAAAAGGAGCCTTAAGTCAGTCCATGTAACACAGCAGTCTTTGGTGGTGGTTAATCATCACGGTCAACTTTACTACACTTAAAATTACCACAGAAAACGCACTTCTGAATGACTCTCTGGGAGTGTATCCAGAAAGTTGGACTGAAGACAGAAGCCCCACACTGAATGTGGGCAGAACCATCCAGTGGATTCGATCCTGGACTGAATAGAGGAGAAAGCAAGGTGAACACCAGCATTCATCTCTCTCTGCTTGGTTACCTCCATGGCCATCTGTCTCATGTGCTACTGCCATGCCCCCTGCCATGATTAAGTATATCCTTAAACCTGAGCTAAAATAAACCCTTTCTTCCTGGAGCTGATTCTGTGAGGCATTTTGTCATAACAGAGCAATCAATGCATCATCCTCTCTATCTGAACTCTTCAAAAGTAGCCTGATGTTACTCTTTGAACTTCTCTTTCATTCTCCTGCCATAGTTACCTTACATAAACCAATCTCTGTGCCACAACAACAAATCTAATCTATTTTGGATGGGCTGCTGGCCAGTTTATGAATCACCAATAAAAGCCAAATAGATTTTTAAGACAAATGTGTGGATATATATTCTCACAAAGTTTGCTGAACACAGCAAAAATATGTTAGTGTCAAGGTTTTGACAGAGATGGCATTTGCTAAACATACCCTACATCAAAGCTATGTTGAAGGTGTTACTTTCTGAATTTGTACTTAAGTGGTGTTGACTCAGAGACACTGAGCAGGTTTTCAGAGTCACATCAGGCAATGATGGAGACAGATCTGACCCCCAGCACTCAGGACCAGGCCAGAGTATGTTTTTTTCCACGCTCACTATTCTTCATTCTCCTTTTCCTAGCGATATCCATTGACGCAAGTGTGTTTCCATGAACAGCTGCTTTTTCCTCTACTTGCAACAGATGTCATATGAACTTCTAATCTGGGCTTCTGACACTGCTAACATTCAGCCATGTGAATCTCTTGCCAGATCAAAGGCTAGAGGCAGCCTTCCAGGTGTGCAGCCTTACAGGTGTACATCCCACCAGGTACGCATCCCACCAGGTATGCATCCCACAAGGTATGCATCCCACCAAGTGGGCAACCTTCCAGGTGTGCAGCCTTCCAGGTGTGCTGCCTTCCAGGTGTGCATCCCACCAGGTATGCATCCCACCAGGTGTGCAGCCTTCCAGGTGGGCAGTCTTCCAGGTGGGCAGCCTTCCAGGTGTGCAGCCTTCCAGGTGTACTGCCTTCCAGGTGTACATCCCACCAGGTATGCATCCCACCAGGTGTGCTGCCTTCCAAGTGTGCATCCCACCAAGTATGCATCCCACAAGGTATGCTTCCTTCCAGATGGGCAGCCTTCCAGATGGGCAGCCTTCCAGGTGTACTGCCTTCCAGGTGTGCAGCCTTCCAGGTGTGCATCCCATCAGGTATACATCCCACCAGGTATGCAGCCTTCCAGGTGTGCAGCCTCCCAGGTGTGCATCCTTCTAGGTGGGCAGCCTTCCAGATGTGCAGTCTTCCAGGTGTGCACCCCACCAGGTGTGCATCCCACCAGGCGTGCAGCCTTTCAGGTCTGTAGTCTTCCAGGTGGGCAACCTTCCAAGTGGGCATCCTTCCAGGTGTGCAACCTCCTTCCACCCATGGTTTTGAGGAGCTCAAGTTAGACTTCTGCTTGGGTGTAGGTTCAGGTTGTTACTAAACATTGGAAACATAAGGCCACAGTGAATTCCTGCTGGAAGACATGGAACTAATAATTTAATGGTCTGATAAGAGGCATCATTCCTGGAGACTGCAGATTTTATTAATAATGAAAGGACAAATTTCTTTCATATATCTTATGTACAGAAGAGATATAGTTTGTTCTAGCCAAACAAAACAAAATGAAACAAACAAAAAACAAATTAAATCCAGTTGTTACTATTTCCTGCGGTCATATAAAGAAAAAACGAGACTTATGTCTCTGGAATTGTTTTTATTGTGAGACTCAAGTTACAAATACGGAGTGCAATGCATATTAGCCAATACTACTTTTTCAAGACGTGGGACTGTTATAAGACTCCTAAGGCATTCTTTGCCTCCCAGTTTTGGTAAAGATGAAGCAGAGACACTCCTTCCAGCCCCCTGACTCAGTATCCTTAATTAAAAATACTTCAAGTTCCAGCTTTGGAACTTGAGCAACTCAAAATTGTATTGTGTACAATTAAAAACAAAAACTGAAAAATGCTTGTGTACCAATATTGGCATTCTTTTTTGGAATAAGTTTCGTGGAAGTTACTATCTACTAGTCCTCCAGAGAAGGGAGTCCATTTCTATCCTTTGCCATTTCTTTCAAAGATTATCCTCCCTGACCCACATCTTAAAAACTAGTTTATGCTTCTCTGGCTCCCTCTACCAACAGAAGAGGAAATGACAGGCTCCGTAGAGTCTGAGTTTCACTTGGCATTAGGTGAGTAAAGCTGGAGGCATCCCCAGAGAGTTTGCGGGGGACACTGTACTTCAGCCCCAGCCCCAGCCCCAGCCCCAGCCCCAGCCCCAGCCCCAGCCCCAG